TCATTCATTTTATTTTAATTTATTTAATTTAACACTTAGTATAGGTAATAGAGATGTTCCGTGTAAGCGCACTAACAATGATAATGTTTCAGTAAATATGCAAATATGCTCGTACGAGAAATGCATTCATACGAGACAGTACTTTTATTAGCAAATCATGTATAACATACAAAATGTTCAAAAAAATATACTTTACATTTTTTGACTTAAGTAGTTACTTGAGTAAAGTTTTTAGTTATATTATTCTGTTGAGCTTGAATCCCCGTATTTATCAAGYAACGCGTTAACTTTATCCAGTGTTTTCAGAGGTTTTTTTGCACATTGCATCGTGTGCCTTTTCTGCCTTTCCTTTGGATTTCWTTTTGCCATTTTTCTTCTTTACACACTTCTCTTCTTCGTGGAGTCACGTTGCTCTGACGAGGCTGAACTGTCGGAATTATTTGAGCTGCTCTCGCTCGATAATTGGGTGAATTTTGCCTCATATCGCTCCTCTGATGTTTTTTATTCGCGTACAATTCATTTATTGATAAGAAAATTAGTTTGTCAGTTTCTCCATTTCCAGTACTCTTTTTTGATTTATAAGAAACAATAGATTGACAGTACGTTAGGACACAAATGATGTGATAGCGAGATCAATATTTGTGTTGAAGGCCACGCAATGGCGAAGTTGTATTCGGATTTGGATAACAAAAACTTGAATAAGAAAAGCAATAGCGAAAAAATAACTTGAATAAGAAAAGCAATAGCGATAAAAACAACGGCACAGCAATCAACATATGATGGCAAGTCAACAATTTTAAAAGCAATTGTAATGACAGTAGAAACATTATTCCTAACTCGATGACATCATGAAAAAATTCAATTTGAACTAAAATTACCGCAAAAATCGTTGTATTGTGAACTCGAAGAGTGTTTAGTCAATCCATGCGCGTGCTCGTGCTACTAGACAAAGCAATTTTTCACATCCACCTGCTGTGTGGACCGAGATCGCGAAAAGATCTTTTTAATACTATGGTTGCACTTGTTATAGCCTTCAAATTGCACGATTCCGAAGTTGATAACAATTTTATTAATCTTTCTTCTGAGTACTTGTCCACGACAATCTTTACAAGCTCCTTGTCCGAGGGTTGTCCAATACTACTTATCTCTTGCTAATCCTATATCATACGTCATACATGACGACAAACTTGAGGTCATCACACTCTCCCCTGCTTTGAAAGTGTGAGCCCTTAAACTAAAACTACTAAACTAAAAGTACTGAAATGTTCAGTCGAGCACCACTTAACACGTATAAACTTAATCTCTTGGACCGTTTTGTAGCGTTTACAGTTGGGGTGATCAAGTCCTAACTTAAACACCAAGTCCCTGGTATCAGTTCTCTTTTACGACAATCCGTACCTTGTTAGTGGCTCCCTGGTGATAATACACCGTCCATGTACAACAATGTACATTTTGTAATTGTTAGACTTCTGTGTTTTTTGTTTGATTTTTTTTTT